TCCAATTTCATTTCCAGTAGCTTATATATATTTTAGGGGCTCATCTAATTGGTCAAATGCCAAAATCAGATATACAGCCATGTAGCAGCATCTTTACTAAATGGCTGGATATAGATCTTGTGCTTCTAGACCTCACTGAGGGACGGAGAGGACTCCATTTGTAAGGGGGATGCAAGCGATCAAAAACAGTAACTTGCCCTATAAACATATGTATAAACTGAAAAAAACCTACTTACCCAAAAGTCAAAAGTAACAATTTGCACTAAGTTTGGCTGTTACTTAAATTTTGCTAGTAAAGAGAACCTAATTCCAATGGTTGTAAAAAGCTAAAAGGGAAATACAATAAAGTCAACTCAATATTGCAAACTCAAAAGCGTTTTCATAGTTTCTAACTTAATCAGTTAAATAACCTGCTGCTGACATTTTGTAAATCTCTGATGTTGCTGTTGTTTTCAAATTTCCATTACTCTAAAATTGTCTATAGCTATATATTGGTTATTTATTCTCCAGGTGCACCGTTTTCTATATTGTCAAAATACTTTACAGTACAGTATTTTATCATTTATCTTTTATCTCTTCACTATTATTTTATTCTTATACATTTCGCTAAGGTCCATATTTGTGTGACCATTTTTTCTATAATCCTCTTGCTGCTGTAAACACCATAATTTCCCCATTGTGCTACAATAAGGGGAACAGCCTCAGGCCAAGGTCAAACCCATGATCTCCGTGCAGCAAGGCAGCGAGGTTGTAACCTGCACCACCATTCAGATTGCCTAGATGCTCTTTAAACAGTTAAATATGTTTTTCGAACAGCTCTTAGACTTTAGACTTAACTGTCTTCATATTTATTACTCCTTCAGATGATTTCTGATTCCAGTAGCTGAAATAGAGTACAAAGGGCAGAGTTAAAGCAAGATGCCATAAAGATAAAAATACAATAGAGTATCTAAAGGCCCAGAACATTTTAATGTATTTAGTGAATGTAGCTCGGATCAAGTACAGTGGCCAATGTAGTCTGTTTCTGAGGAGAACATGCTGGAGTATCGATCAGTCATCATGAACTTCATGGACTGGTGTGAGAAGAACCATCTGTGTCTTAGAACCACCAAGGAAATTGTGTTTTACTTCAGGTGAAGACCCCCACCCCACTCCCCCTTGAACATCCCAGGGCAAGACATAGTATCTTTGTAGAGTTTTAAATACCTGATTGTTCATGTCAATAATAAACTGACCTGGACTCGGATGCCCTGTATAAGCAGACTCAGAGCCACCCCCACCCCCTGAGGAGGCTGAGGTTCTTTGGAGTGAGCAGGCCCCTGCTTAAAACCTTCTTTGGCCCTGTGGTGGCATCAGCCCTCCTCTACGCTCTCATCTGCTTGGCCCCTGGCAGTGCAGAGTGGGACAGAAAGAGACTGAACAAATTGGAGAGAAAGGCAGTTTCTGTCCTGCTGCTGCTGCTCCCTGGACTCAGTGGAGAAAGTGGCTGAGAGGAGGGTGGTGTCCAAGCTTACATCCATCATGGATAACACCTTCCACACCCTGCACCAGACTGTAGAGGAGCTGAGTAGCTCCTTTAATGAAAGACTTTTATAACCTGTTTGTAAATAGGAGCTCTACCAGCAGGGCCAGCAGGTAGGTCATCTCTGCTCCCATCAGACTCTACAATGCCACACTACAACGGCAACAACTTGTGCAATGTATAATGTGGAACTGCTATTTAATACCCTGTGCAATAACCTGTTTCTTTATATGTGACACCCAGTGCAATAACTATGAATAGAAATATCCATCTATATAAATACCCATTTAAACACCTTGTGCAATAACCCTGTATAATAATCCTGCTCTGAAAAAATAAAAACATATGTGGATGCACTGTATATACTGTATATATCCAGTGCACCTTTTTCTTCACTTGGCACATTCTTCTTCTTTTTGACTATTTGAGCTAATATAACGAGTAAATTTCTCTACTGTGAGATCAATAAAGTCAATCAATCAGTCAATACAGGGACCATAGCCCCCTGATTTGCAGTCACACATCCTCACATTTATAGGGACTGGTAATTTTGTGTTAAAGGATAGAAAGTAATCTTAGAACAAAACAATATGCATACGGTGTTTTCCACTGTTTCATTCTGTTTGTGGTGGTGAAAAACTCAGTGTGTGATACGATAGCTCCAAGGGTATTAATGGTTTTCTAAAGTTGGTGAGTGCTAAAGAGTCCCTTTAGTACTGCACCATAAGCCATGATCTAGAATCAGCAGTAGCACACTGCTAACACATTGATATTTGGATGAATTAAATTAAAGCTAAAAGTTGTACTCAGATTAAATGTTATTTCTGCTGTAAGAAGATTATGCCTACTGCTGTGAACTAAAATGTAAATTTGTCTAAAAGCAACCATTTCATTAATAGGTCACATCATGTGATGGCAAGTTAACAACATAAGAACTATTTATTCAAAAGATTGTTGACTCTAAATTAAACAACGCATTTTAAAATACTTAAATTCCCCTTATGCTTTGTATTTTGACGTTTTTTAACATCTCAACATCTAAAAGTCGAGGGGCGCCCTCATTGATTGGTCATTGTTGTTAGAATTGCTGTCTCTGTAAATGTTAACAGTTATTACAATATACAATAGCACAGAAGAAGTCAGTGAAAGTTTGGTTGGATGACGCCACTGAGGAGCTGAGTGATTGTTTCAGAACCACAGACTGGAGNTCCAACATGGTTTATGTATTATATATTTGTTGGTTTATACATATGCTTATATAATTTAGTTATTGGAACTTAGACTTGTCTTAGACAAACTTTCAAGTCATTTTGTATACACCTAGTTTATACAACACGAAATTTCGAAGTTATTGGAAGTGTGAAATAAACACGATCCCATTAAGAGAAATGTTGCACTGTGAGACCGCCTGGAATTTAGCTGATAAACTCAGTAAAATGTCAAAATCTCAATTTGATTCTACAAAGAAAATACAAAATTAATAAATAAATACAAGTTTATTGACATGTTTTTCAACTGATATATAACAAGAGACAACATCTGACCTAAAACTTATTTTGGATTTTTAGTTAGAAGTTTTTTAGTTTATCTAGTAATATGTCTAATTCAAATATGATTGCAGAAAATGTCTGCTATATCACTTTATTTATATTATGCTAAATTAATCTAGTCTTAGCTTCAAATTAGGAAAACAATAATGATTAATAATATTTTTTCATACAATAATAAAAATACTTTAGGTTAAGTAATTTTTAATTAACTGGATTTGAAACACTGGGTGAAAAAAAACAACAAGATGAGTTTTCTTATTACAAAAATACCTAATAAAAAAAATAAAAAAAAGTCATAGTTTCTAACCTTGTTCAATTTCAAACACCGTTGCCTTGTTGCAAAGAAAGGGCAAGCGGCTTCTGAAACTCTGTAGCAAATCCAATTCCCATGAATCAGGTCACTTTGAAATGCTGTGATGATTAAATATCATAGCAAATATAAAAATTAGAATATCAAATTGTATGTTTTGTATGTGCAAAACAGTATTAATAAATAATAAACATATTTATATTGAAAAGGGTCATGTTGTTCCCAATGACACAATAGGACCATAAGCAACATTATCTGGGTGGGCCCCATATGAAGTACAACACGTGATAAAGGTTCAGGATAGGGTGACAGTTCCATAAATTGGCCAAGAAGATACAATTATGCAATTTGCTGTTGCCTGGAATGCTGGTTAAACAGAGCATGCACAGGCTTCACCAGCAACCTCCTCCCCACACCCCCCTCTCTCTTGTAGTTCCTGCACAATGGAAGTAGTTCTAATCCACACATGGTGCCCACCAGGTGTCAGTGATGGGACCTGTAAGAGGTCCGGGACCCGTAAGCAACTGCAGTCTCTGCTTACCGATAGTTAGGCCATTGGTTGTTCCCAAGATGCCTAGTGTGACTAATTAGCTTCATACCTCAAAGTATAATAGTTACAGATGTGATGCTGAAATGAATATCCTCTTATTGATCTAACATCTGATTCAGTGCAAAA